TTGAAATAATCTTTTAGCAAATAAAAATGTTGAAATTTCATTCAGCCGCTCATGAATACGAAATGAAAGATATTCGCGGAGAGAAACACTATGTCGTGCTCCTTTATCAATATGTCTTTCAACATTGAAAGGGATATCCTCTCTATAACCATCTTCACCATACGGGAACAAAATTGGATACTGAAGTGGGAGGTATGCTGGATTAAGTTCAGTAATTCTCTTAAGCACACCTGATTTTGTTTCAATCAATATATCTCTTTCACCCAACATTGGATCTAAATCACCAACAACAATAGCAGCAACCTCTGACACTGTCGGTAGATTATATGTTTTGGCATCCTGAGTGCGTTTCCCAATTAATTTCATTTTGACGTCGACTCTGAGATTTTTCTTTATTTCATGTCTAGCCATTCGAAATGATCTAACCAAAACATTGTTCTCATCTAATGTTAATTGAAGATCAGAAACAATATCTTCATGTAATTCTTTGACCTCATTGCCGCCGCTACAATCAAAATTTAACACAAATCAGTTATATATATATATATATATATATATATATATATATATATATATATATATATATATATATATATATATATATATATATATATATATATATATATATATATATATATATATATATATATATATAGCATGAATGTGTAGATATCTATGTTTGTGCATAACCACACATGCGAATTACAACTAAGTATACCAATTACATACTAAAAGAGAGCATACCTAACAGCATTAAGCCGATTGAAAATCTCATTTTCTGGGTCATGGATGTAAAGTTGTGCAAACTTCGGTTTATTACCATCAACCGGCAATAAACTACCCAACAAATGAAAATTCTGACCATTTAATCTGAACACTGGAGGAGCTCCACCTATGTTAATATCTTTGTCAACACGACCTCCCATTGATGTGAAGCTAAACATGTTATTGTACGACCGTATATGTTGCATAAAATGTTTGCTTCGTGGAGTTTGGTCGAAAAATAAATCGAAAATGATTTTCGGTGGAATATTCAATCTTGGTAACTTAATCTTGCCATTACTACAACAAACTGAATATCTTGCAGCACCATTGACTTTCACATCCTTCAATTTCTCATCCGTCCAAAAGAACGCTTTACAATGTTGGCATTTAAGAACTGGATCACCTATATCATAATATAGCACTACAATACAATAGTAAATGTTGTTAGTACATCAACAAATATTTTCCAAAAATAAATAAATAAATATAATGACTTAAAAATTCAAATTATTCTTTAGTTCTACAAAATCTAACCTTTATTGTCAACACCCAAACCTCGAACACTTGAAAAAACCACATTACATTTCTTTTTGTCATCTACACAGATTAAAAATAAGCATTAATATATACACATAAAATAATTAAATAAACTACACAATAAATTACAATTACACTAAAAGAAATAAACAAATACCAATTATCGGTTGACTTGTTTCGCCATTCTCAACTGTAAAATTACAATTATTAGTACTTGAGCTTTGTAACACATTGGCCATAATGTTCGACTAAACTTCAATTGGGTTACAAATTGCACTTCCTGCATCTATATACCCATACATATGAACTCCATTAATTAGTCATTCAAAGTGTAGGATTTAAATACAAAATGGATAATATTATATACAATAATATATAAGACAATAATAATGTTTGTATGTTAAAAAATTAAATTTATTTACGTACGTACAAAATTACATATCAAATTGCTGATAAAATCTTTTTTTTTTCCTTGAGGAATAAATACGTAACAATTTAAAACTACAAACCTAAAGAAAAAACAAATATTTATGATAAACAATAGTAAGACTAATATTTACAACTTAAAACGTAAATAATAAATAAATTTATTCTATTTACTTACAAAATAAAATACATTTGAATTATGGTTACTATTATTATTAACAGCAACAATTCTAGAAAACGGAGGCCTAAAAACTCCAGGAAATAATTGTCGCTGTAAATTTGACTGATGCACACCACGATCTTTACAACGAACATCAAAACCCGCTTGGTAATCACAATTTTCTAAATTAATTAAAAATTATACCGTACTGTAGATTCATAATTTCTACCGCATAAATATTATGAATCTACAACATAAAAATTATGGAGATCCATAATTTCTATGTTGTAAGTCCATAATAATTATGGATCTACGGTTTAGAAATTATGGATTTATCCCGTGTTCACCATACGCTTGGTAAACACGTTTACACATCATAATTTGCCCAATTAAACATAAATAACATTTCATTACTAATTATGTAATTAACTAACATACTTAAAATGAAATTATTAATTCCTAAACATTTTATAAAAAAAAAAAAGAAGAAAAATTAACCAACCCAATATATATATATATATATATATATATATATATATATATATATATATATATATATATATATATATATATATATATATATATATATATATATATATATATATATAATAAAATAAAAAATGAAGAGATGAAGATGAAAGATCTAATCTGAGCCCTCTTCATTTCTCACTTCTCTCGTCTTCATCTAACCCACTTCATTCCATGATTTCTTTGATGCTATCTATCTCTCTCTTACAACCTAGAACAGATGAGGAAAAATGGTGTTGACCCTTATCCTCTGTCTGTCACGGCTTCATCTTGAACATCTTCATTTTCGGAGATTACCGATGTTCTCTCTCTCTCTCTCAACCTTGAACGACAGCTATGAATTTGTCTTCATTTAGGTGGAAATCGTACTAAACTGAAGCTAAGTTCATAATTACAGATATGTTTTCTCTTAATTTCTTGCTGTTATTTAGTTTTTTTTTTTAATGTCTAACTGTGTTTATCACTTTAATTATCTTTATCATCTCCAAATATATATGAGGTCTGTTTCAAATTAGTTCTTATTTCTCAAATTAACAGTATTTGTTTGATTCAGAGTGCATGCAGTGAAATTTTTAGTCTGTGCTACTTTTATTTTCATAGATTAAAGACCTATTTAGGTTTTTTTTTTCTTCTTTCAATTTTCTACATCTTGTATTCCCGATCCTGAAATGATCCTATATGCCTAATTATATATTTATTTGTTTATTAAATTAGATCCTGATTTTGTTTATAATAGAGGATTATTGTTATTTTCTGGACGAAATATAATTCCCTACACTGTTTATGGAGAAACCCCTAACTCAATGTTTGTTTAAGGCCTAATTTTAGGGTTTCCCTAAACTAAATCCTACAATACTGATAATTTTCAGAAAGTTTATACTTATACTATATTCACTATCAAATTCGATGAATTTTTGTAAAGCTATAGAGACTATACCTAATTTTTGTTTAACTCTTGTTCTTTACTTACATTAAACTTGTAATTTGGTAACTATATCTATTTTGAAAACACATTTTAGAGGACACCAAATCTGTACATTACAACCTAATGAAAGCAATATCAAAAATGGAAAATCTTGAAAAAAATATGAAAAATAACTTTTTTTTTCTTTTCATTATTCTGAATGAAACTTCAGTGGATATTTAATTTTTTTATAGTGCATATTACATATATACATGTTACCAACAAAAATGATTGCATTTTAATCATTTTCAAATCATATTTTTTTTCTACAATTGACATACCACTTTTAATAAATATTTATTGCAGATTTCACAACAAATGTTAAGCAAATGAGGACCCTGGTGCAACTGAAATAAGAACACAATCATTCATGGAATTTGAATGAAGACAAATAGGTATGAAACATTGTACCTTTATTTGAGCCAACATATTTCCTTTTTCCACATATCGTAGTTGATCCCGTCAATTTCTTCATTCTTACTGCAATTACTAACAATGCAATCACATTAATGGTAGATTCTTTCAAAATGAGTGGAGAATAGAGATGTTTCTTTGTTAGACTTAAATGAGTTGTATATATAGATATCAAATTTGAGAGAATTGAAAAGTCACTATCACACATTACTTTTACAAAGTCAAAACTTACAATCAGCAATTAATGCTTGATAGTAAGGCTATGTCTATAAATAAAGTAGAAATATTGTATGTATTGGATTTTGTGTAACTTGATTCTATTCAATTAATGTGATAGCTATTTTTAAAATTTTAAATAAGAAAAAGATCATTTCAAAATCATATCAGATTTGGTTTTCCTTTTCTCCACCATCTGGATGAATGAATAATTGAATATGCCACTTTTGTAAATGGCATATGCCCAGGTTCTTGTCCAAATAAAAGTGGGTTCACGCTAACCCATGTAAAATGCAACATTGAGTTGAGATGTATATATGGAGATGTAGCCTGTAGCTGCATTATATTGCATCGCACAATTTCCCTTGGCATGCAGCCATGGAAAGCAGTTTCATTACTTATTGTGTCTCTTCCAAATGTTTAATTGTGCCCTCTGCCAAAGGAGATTTGCCTAGCAATTCACATATAATAAACAGCAAATTAAAAAAACAACAAAGTTAAATACAAAAAAATAGAACAAACCAGAAATTAATTTAATTATTATATACACAGAGTCACAGACATTGTATTTACAAATTATTTGAAGTACTAATCGCGCTGCATGTATATTCATAATACTAACACAAAAATTTTGAAATTCCTGTGTAGATGGTGCAACATTAAGGCGAACATACAACCAAAAACCAGATAACGATGCAAATGAGTTAGTAAGTTTAAAGTTACTAAAGTTTTAATTCCAACATGCAAAGGTATGGTTTCATTGTATCTTAATATTTTATTCTTTTGTTCTTTTATATCGAAATTTCGTTGTGCATATTGCATTCCTTTTCTCATTACTTGCATTTGTTAAGTTGGGTAAATTTGTTTTTTTTTTTTTGTTACTCAATTTCTGCGAAACTGTTTTCACTGCTCATTGCTTTGATAGACAAGTGTAAAAGTTACCATTAGACATTTTTTTTTAAACTTGTTATCATATTACCCGTTGGTGACTAATAACTTCAAGCATAACTATATGAGATTGTGTTTTCTCTTTCGAAATATAGTATAACTTACAGCAAACAACAATTGGATACAATTTTCCAATTGTGGTTAACTGTGATCACCTCTTATTGCTTTGACAGACCATTGGAATTTTATGTGTCCATTTTTTTTCTAAGTTGTTAATATATTATGATTTGCTGACTATTATGTGTTTCTGTAGTAGTAATTGTTTAAACAATCCCTTTACAAATGTAGTCCTTTTTTTTCTTTTCGAAGTTCTTAGTATATGATGATTTGTTGACTAATATGTGTATGTCTTATCTATATCTAATTAAACATAATGTCTATTTGGTTTTTACAGAATATATGGCAATTTAGGTTTTTTTTTTCCTAATTTCTTACTATATCATCATTTGTTGAGTAATGTCTTTTTATCATCTATAGCAAACTGTAGATCAAACTAATAGGGCAAGGTCTAAGTGTAAAATATCAACATCATGTGCAGTTTTCAGTATATAACTTATAAGCAAGTCCATCAACCTGAATCTTATGTGTTTTTGCCACTCTTTACATGTTTTTCTATGATATTATCTAATCATGATAGGGGCAAATGATGATAAACATGTCTGATGCCAATTTTTTGGACAAAGTGTTAATGAAAATTATTGAGATTAGGATATTACCTAATATCATATATTGGTAGTCTGTTTTCAGATATTTATTTTTACAGCTTTAGCCTTTTTTTCAAGTTGAGCAATTTTTTTCTTCGTCTAGATGTTGACAATATGTGATGAATGGTTGATTAATAAGTGTCTGTCCTACCTATACCTATGTGAAGATAATCCATATTTGCCTAGGAAACATAGAGTTGAAATTAGCATCATATTACATTAAGTAGACTTAGATAACAGCTGCAACTAAGACAATGCCAGTTTACAAAAACACAAAACATCATCACCCACCTACACCTAGTCACCATACTATTAAGTGAACCTTAACTTTACAGTTCAACCAATTCAGCCTTCAAAACACACCAGCAAAAATACACATTAGGGTGGATTACCAAAAACATAAAACCTAGTCTTAGTGCAAGCCATTTTCAACATATTCCCTTTAATGCTACTCCATTTACTTCTCCTTCTTCACAACAGCAACCTTAGGTTTCTTTGAGCTCCCAACAGCATCAAAATCCTTCATTAGGCACCTCTTAAGAGGAAGAGCAACAACCCCATCATCTAGATCTGCAGGAATTTCATCCAGCCCAACACACTGGTCCTGGTCAAAGTCTTCAGAACCAATTTCCAGTCCTTCACCCTCTTCATCATCACTAACAAACACTTGCTAAATGAGAAAAAAAAACTTAAGCATTAGCTACTAAGTATTTGACATTTGTTAAAAACATTCCTTTTTGTAGTTTAGATGATATCTACCTCGCAGGCTTGACCAACATCCAAACCACCATCAGCTGACACGATCTCAGATTGGCTGCAAGCTAAGAAACCTGAGCAGTGCTGTGTAAGAACTGCTTCATCTCTACAAACACGTAGAACAGTGAAAGCAGAGTAATAACTCTCTACTTGATCTTTCTTCATAGCTATCCGAAATAGCATAGACATCCCATGCAAACGTCCTAGCTCCGGTGGAATAGAGTTATTACCCTAGGAAAATTTCATATACTGTGTCAAGGTTTAGCCTCACAAATCAGGTAAGAAGATTAAAAAAAAAAAATTGCATACCCCAGGATACTTCTCCTTTAAGTCAGCAGCCGCTATACCAACCAAATCAGCACATTCCCGATCCCATATGAGCATGGGAGCATCCCCAGTTTCATCAGCAACACGAACTATCACTCTATACCTCACAATCCCTTCTTGCCAATAGCTCTTACACCCAGAACAATAGAGCATCCCTCCACTCTCAGACAGCTTTCTCTTGCAAGAATTAGTCTTGCAAGAGATAAAGTACCAATCACATAGACTCTCAACACCAACAATTCGACCAACTACCCAATACTCCCCCAACTGCCCAACATAACACAATAAAGGTACTGTTAGTTAGTTATTGATACATCCAGCCTTACATAATTAGTTAAATCTGTATTTTAGGTAATTATATTCCCACAGAAATAGATTATAAGCACTAATGTTAGTTAGTTATGATAAATCCAGCCTTGTATACATAGTTAAACTTACATTGTACGAAACCATATTCCAACAGAAATAGATTATAAACACTACTGTTAGTTAGTTAGTGATTATTGATAAATCCAGCCTTATATACGTAGTTAAAGTTACAATTTAGGTAACTATATTCCCACAAAAATAGATTATAAACACTACATACTTTAAGTCAAAGTTTAGGTAACTATATTCCCACAGAAATAGATTATAAGCACTACCATTAGTTACTTAGTAATTATTGATAAATCCAGCCTTATATAGATAGTTAAAGTTACAGAAGTGGTAACTATATTCTCTATGCAAATAGGTTTTAAGCAAAAAAATCATAACTTACATTTTTTTTACTGTATATTTCCTCAATAGAACTGACCAACACTTCCTTGGAAGTACCACTACCATTAGGAAGACCAACACCAAGCCGAGATGAGGAATCAATACACCGCAATGGAGTTGAGTTACTTGTGAAGCTACTAAAACAACAAACCAACAAAACACTTAGTGCTTCATTAAGAAGCAACCATGAAATTAGGAAAGATTTCCTAGGTACACTCACCGGCTCTTAAATGCAACAAACTCCTTACAGGGGTGAGAGAAAAACAGCTGAGTTGCATCGAAAGAGTTGCATATGCGCACTTCACCATCTATCAAGCAAAAGAGATTAAATAAGTACATAAATTATGTGTGTAGTAAATACTAAGTTAGACTTACTGTCCATAAACTTAGCACGGCATAGTTGGATCAAAAGTATGACTGGGTCAGTAACATCTTGGTTGAAATAAGGAATAAGTTGATCCACGTGGTCATCCCAAAGTGTGCACTTAATCTAATTTTTACTGCACACATAATTGTAAGAAAGTTATACAATCAGAATGTAATATATAGCTTACTAAATGTAATAGACAGAAGTGCAAAATTCAGAAGAAAAACTTACCTCATATCCTCAAGGACAAAGTCTATCAACTTTGTTTTTTTTCCAGCAATTACCTTCTCCAGTGGGGAATAAATCTCCACAACTCTACCAATGACATCTAAAAACATAGGACTATGTTAACAACACATATAAGATATTTTTGTAGATTATCATAATTGTAATTTGAATATAACAGTTTTGATTATGAATCACTTACCCATTAAAACTTTCTCATCCACATCTTGTTTTGAAAGTATAGCAGGGAAACTCTTGAACCGAAACATCGTTTTCGGGAACTTGATACGCTTATATTGCTTCACCAATGTGTCATACTTAAACTTTATCATATAACGCAAAGTGCTTGTTTTGTATTTGAAAAAGTTTGTGATACATAGGAAATTCCTAATCCCATAAACTTGCCCCTCCTTGAATTCATTCTTATATTTGCTTACAATGTCCTTAGGTATGTGAACATGGATGAACATACCCTATATTTCAAAGAACCAAAACAACATAGTTAGCAGAACCTAGCAACACTTAAAAACAATCTAAAATATATATATATATATATATATATATATATATATATATATATATATATATATATATATATATATATATATATATGAAGGTAATGTAGGAATAACACCTATTCATCTACAAACACACACTCTTGGCTTCTTATGTTGTTTTCTCCCTTTGTTTCAGTGACAACATAATTCCTTACACAACGCAGCTTAATTGCCTTCGTAGTAAGCTGTGGATGAAGGTCTGCACCAAGAATGAATTGCCCAGATTGCCCAGACATCCTTCAGAGATGGTCACTGCCAATTGGAACTTACTTTAACGCTTACTGTAAACTATATTGTTTTGGGTTTCACTACTCTCTTCGCATACTTGTAAAATTATGTCTCATTGTGTATGTATATATAGCCCCGAAGATCACCTCCTATACGTATTATTATATTGAAAAATATATAGGCTTGACAGTAATCCCATACCCTGAAAACTTAAAAGAATTAATTTCACTTTTGGTCCCACGACTTTTGAGTTCTTATCACTTTTGGTGCACAACTTTAAATTTTTTCAATTTTGGTGCCTAACTTTGTTATTTTTATTAGTTTTGGTCCTTCCAGCCAAATTGACGGTAAAATATTTCCGGATTTTATATTTTAGGGGCAAAATCGTCATCCCATGGAAAGATCTTCAATATTTAAACAAAAGAAAAATCATATTAAGAGGAAAAAAAGAGTTTGCCAATGATCGAAACTATAAATCCCATAGATCTGTATGGTTTCTGCCCGTCTTCCATCATCAAACACCTACAGATATGATTTTACAGTGATTTTGTTTAGATATTGAAGATGTTTCCTTGGGATGACGATTTTACCCCTAACAATATCAAATCCAGCAACATTTCGCAGTCAATTTGGCCGAAAGGACCAAAACTGATAAAAAAACAAAGTTAGGCACCAAAATTAAAAAATTTTAAAGTTGTGCACCAAAAGTGATAAAAGATCAAAAGTCGTGGGACCAAAAGTGAAATTAATTCAACTTAAAATGCACGCATACTATGAAGAAGGCCATACCCATAGCAACTCTACAATAGGTCAACAACCTAAAAATTAGGATAAAATCTCACGCAAATATCATATCTTCTGAAATCTAATCTGATTAAATAATAAAAAAATAAATTCAAAGTAGGCGGGACATTCTTAGATTTGAATAAAAAAAAAACAAAAACAAAAAAAAAAAAAAAAACAAAAAAAAACAAAACAAAACGGTGTAGTTTTCCATGAGCGGGAAAATGAAGCCATTTGATTGGCTGAAAAATAGTGACCTTTATATGTATATAGATTATTATTATTATTATTGTTGTTGTTGTTATTGTTGTTATTGCTGTTGTTATTATTATTATTATTATTATTACATCATCATCATCATCATCATCATCATCATCATCATCATCAATCATCATCATCATCATCATCATCATCATCATCATCATCATATCATCATCATCATCATCTCATCATATCATCATCATCATCATCATCATCATCATTCATCATCATCATCATCATCATCATCATCATCATCATCATCATCATCATCATCATCATCATCATCATCATCATCATCATCATCATCATCTATCATCATATCATCATCATCATCATCATCATCATCATCATATCATCATCTATTCTTTTATCATCATCTATCATCATATTTTTCATCATCATCATCTTATCATCATCATCATCATCTATCATCATCATCATCATCTCATCATCATCATCATCATCATCATCATCATCATCATTATTATTATTATTATTATACCTTAGGTGTTAGGTCATTTTACTTGTTAATCTAAACAACTAATTTTTTCAAATATCTTTTTACCAACCATTGATATAATTCGCTGGTCAAATTCGCTAATATAATCCGCTAACACTAACCGCTAACTGCTGATTGTCAAACAAAAATATTGCGAGGTAGTTCTCACTTCAATTTGTTGTGTGATTTGAATACTCTCTTTGTCAACAATTCCTTCAAGTAGTTAATATGATCAGCTTTATTAATTATATTTTTTTAAATTTTTTCATGGTATTAATAAAATACTTGGTAAATAAATATATAGCATTATTTTGTATTATAACTTTGATATTTAATTAAAAAAATAGTGCACAAAAAAAGATAATAGACAATGTAATAATATAATCAATTGATGAATTTGAATGTAAAGAATTTTTACATTGGAGAAATATAAACACAATATAACTAATAAAATTATTTCTCTTAATTAATTTATTAATAATAAATTATTTTTTTAATAAAGACATTGTAGGGACAATGTAGCAAATATAATCAATTGATGAATTTGAGTGTAAAGAATTTTTATATTGGAGAAAAATAAATACAATATAACTAATGAAATTATTTCTGTTATTTAATTTATTAATAATGAATAATTTTTTTTTGAATAAAGACATTGTAGACACATAATTATAAATTAAAGAAATGCATATGTATTTTTTTTTTTGTAGCTACTAAATTATTATTTAATTTAATAAGAGTAAAATAGAGTACTAATTATGCCAACTTTGATTGGGATGAGGTTTGAACCTAAGACCTTTCAATTATTATTAAAATCAATAAGTAAGTTAACGGTAAACTAACAGAAATTAACAGAAAATATAATATTTAACGGAAAAGTTAACGGAAAATCATATTCATTAAGGATAAATTAGGAAATCTTAAAGAAAAATTAAAATCTGATCAATCTGAGCCATTCATTTGATTAAAAAATTTGACCGCCATTTTTTCTACCCATTATAGGCCTAACTCTCTTGGGCTCTTATTAGTATATATATATATATATATATATATATATATATATATATATATATATATATATATATATATATATATATACTAGTTTTTTACGCGCATTGCGCGATTGGATAATGCCCAATATTTTTTTTTAAATAAATAGTTTAAAGTATATCAAGGCAAGATTATATTGGATTGTTCATGCATACATAATTGAATGTTAAATTTGCGTATTTAAATAGGCAATTCTAAGTTTACAAATGCAAGCTAATATATTCAAGATTGATTATAATTGTCAATAAAATAATTGTATATGTATACTTGAAACCAAATACGGGACATAAGGGAGAGCAAAAAAATTAAGGCATAAAATATTAAATATATACTAATATTGAAGAGCTAACTGCTGATTGCCAAACAAGGACATTGCGAGATATTTTTCCACTTCAATTTGTTGTGTGATTTGAATACTCTTTTTGTCAATAAATCCCTCAAGTAGTTCATATGATTGACTTAATTTTTTTTTTAAAACAATTATTATTATTATTATTATTATTATTATTATTATTATTATTATTATTATTATTATTATTATTATTAAATATATGTATACCCTTAGGTCATTTTACATGTTAATCTAAACAGTTAATTTTTTCAAATATCTTTTTACCAACCGTTGATATAATTCGCTGGTCAAATTCGCTAATATAATCCGCTAACGCTAACCGCTAACTGCTGATTGTCAAACAAGGACATTGCGAGGTAGTTCTCATTTCAATTTGTTGTGTGATTTGAATATTCTCTTTGTCAACAAATCACTCAAGTAGTTAATATGATTGACTTTATTAATTATATTTTTTTAATTTTTTCATGGTATTAATAAAATACTTGGTAAATAAATATATAGGATTATTTTGTATTATAACTTTGATATTTAATTAAAAAATAGTGCACAAAAAAAGATAATAGACAATGTAGTGAATATAATCAATTGATGAATTTGAATGTATAGAATTTTTTACATTTGAGAAATATAAAGACAATATAACTAATAAAATTATTTCTCTTAATTAATTTATTGATAATGAATAAATTATTTTTTTGATAAAGACATTGTAGGGACAATGTAGCGAATATAATCAATTGATGAATTTGAACGTAAAGAATTTTTATATTGGAGAAAAATAAATACAATATAACTAATGGAATTATTTCTCTTATTTAATTTATTTATAATAATAATTTTTTTTTTTTTAAGTAAAGACATTGTAGACACATAATTCTATTCTAAATTAAAGAAATGCATATGTATTATTTTTTGTTGTAGCTACTAAATTATTATTTAATTTAATAAGAGTAAAATAGAGTACTAATTATGCCAATTTTAATTGGGATGAGATTCGAACCTAAGACCTTTCTTATTGAAATCAATGAGTAAGTTAACGGTGAACTAACAGAAATTAACGGAAAAGATAATATTTAACGGAAAAGTTAACGGATAATCATATTCATTAAGGATAAATTATGAAATTTAAAGGAAAAAAATAAAATCTGATCAATCTGAGCCATTCATTTGATTAAAAAACTTGACCGCCATTTTGTTACCCATTATAGGCCTAACTCTCTTGGGCTCTTATTAGTATAGTAGATATATACTAGTTTTTTACGTGCATTGCGCGATTGGGATAATGCCCAATTTTTTTTAAATAAGTACTTTAAAGTATATCAAGGCAAGATTATATTGGAATTGTTCATGCATAGATAATTGAATGTTAAATTTGCGTATTTAAATAGGTAATTCGATCTAAGTTTACAAATGCAAGATAATATAGTCAAGATTGATTATAATTGTCAATAAAATAATTGTATAAGTATGGTTGAAACCAAATATGAGACATAAGGGAGAACAAATAAAAATTATGGCATAAAATATTAAATACTCCGTATATACTAATATTGAAGAGCTAACTGCGGATTGTCAAACAAGAACATTGCAAGATAGTTTCCCACTTTAATTTGTTGTGTGATTTGAATACTCTTTTTGTCAATAAATCCTCCAAGTAGTTAATATGATTGCTTAATTATATTTTTTTTATTTTTTAAAACAATTATTATTATTATTATTATTTTTATTATTATTATTATTATTATTATTATTATTATTATTATTATTATTATTAAATATATGTATACTCTAAGGTCATTTTACATGTTAATCTAAACAACTATTTTTTTCAAATATCTTTTTACCAACCTTTGATATAATTCGCTGGTCAAATTTACTAATATAATTCGCTAACTGCTGATTGTCAAACAAGGACATTGCGAGGTAGTTCTCACTTCAATTTGTTGTGTGATTTGAATACTATCTTTGTCAACAAATCTCCCGAGTAGTTAATATGATTGGCTTTATTAATTATATCTTTTTAATTTTTCATGGTATTAATAAAATACTTGGTAAATAAATATATAGCATTATTTTGTATTATAACTTTTATATTTAATTAAAAAATAGTTCACAAAAAAAAAATAATAAACAATGTACTGAATTGAATATAATCAATTGATGATTTATTATTATTATTATTACAAAGAAAGGGGGATAATCAATTGATGAATTTGAATCTAAAGAACTTTTACATTGGAGAAATATAAAGACAATATAACTAATAAAATTATTTCTCTTAATTAATTTATTGATAATGAATAATTTTTTTAATAAAGACATTGTAGGGACAATGTAGCGAATATAATCATTTGATGAATTTGAATGTAAAGAATTTTTATATTGGAGAAAAATAAATACAATATAACTAATGAAATTATTTCTTTTAATTAATTTATCGATATGAATAATTTTTTTTTTTTTTTGAATAAAGACATTGTAGATACATAATTCTAAATTAAAGGAATGGATATGTATTATTTTTTGTTGTAGCTACTAAATTATTATTTAATTTAATAAGAGTAAAATAGAGTACTAATTATGCCAACTTTGATTGGAATGGAGTTCGAACCTAAGACCTTTCTTATTAAAATCAATGAGTAAGTTAACGGTGAACTAACAGGAATTAACGGAAAAAATAATATTTAACGGAAAAGTTAACGGATAATCATATTCATTAAGGATAAATCAGGAAATCTGAACAAAAAATTAAAATTTGATCAATCTGAGCCATTCATTTGATTAAAAAATTTGACCGCCATTTTTTCTACTCATTATAGGCCTAACTCTCTTGGGCTCTTACGGGGCGTTTGGTTGGAGGGATTTTAAATTACCTTCCCACCTAATTCCAAAGGCCATTAAATTCCGTAGTTTGGTTGGAGGGAATTGCAATTCCATGGAATTGCAATTCCCCCATTTTCATGGAATTAAAATCCCATGTCCCCCCTGAGATTTTAATTTCTGAGAAAAAAAGATAGTGATGAGTCAAAATTACCCCTTCATTTTTTAACTTAAAATTAATGTCTAACAACAATAATTGACATTTTTGACTTTATACTACTTATTCCCTTTCAATTTCCATGTATACCAAACATTGGAATTGAAATTCCCAGTAATTCTATTCATGTCAACCAAACACTGAAATTTAAATTCCCACTTTATTCCCAGTAATTCAACTCCCATGGAATTACAATTCCTTTCCCACATAATTCTCCCTCTCCAACCAAACGCCCTGTTATTAGTATAGTATAGTAGATATAGTATGTATATATATATATATATATATATATATATATATATATATAGTAGATTTTATAAATAATAAATAATATATTCAGCCAAACAGAAAATGTAATTTTTTAACTTTCAATCAAATAAAAAAATAATAATTTTGACATTTAGTTAATCATTAGAAAATTAAATTATTAAAAATAAATTATTTTCTAAATATCATTTTTCAATTTCCAAACATATCCAAATTAAAAAAAAAAAAAATCCAAATTGACTATTGGCTATTTGACATAATTTACTCAGGAAAATCAAATGCTTAAATTCGAGTTACTCAATTGAGTCATCTTCTAAGATAATTTAATAATTTTACATCTATTAATGTCTAATTTAGTCATCAAATATAATAAATTTATCAATTATAATAATTTTATCAATTTAATCCTGATGATACCTAATAATTTAATCATCAAATTTAGTAATATTTAATCCTCGACTATAAAAAATTTTCTTCATTTAGTCATTGATTCTAAAAGTTGTGGATTCAATTGGATAAAATATTAAATTAATCATTGATCCTAGAGGACTTAATTGGATAAACCCAATTAAATTTGAGCAACTAATTAAACACAAAATGTCGTTTGAAATTAAATTAGGTATTATCTGGCGTAAATACCAACAATAAACCAGCGACCCGCGTGTATTCTCCGGGCAGTTCCGGCGACTGAGAGCGGCGGGGCAATGGCGGCTGGAGTAACGGGATGCATATTCTGCCAGATCGCTACCTCTTCCACCTCCACCACTCTTCTTCACTACGTCAGTAGTTTTTTTTTTTTTTTCGTCTTATCACGCTTTTTCCACTGTCATCTATCAGCTTCAGTAGATCTCCGTTTTTGCAGGATGAAAAAGTTGTAGCATTTCAGGATATCAACCCTTCAGCCCTCAGGTTCTCATTTCATCTCTTCAATTTCAATTTGAAATGCGAATTAATTAGTCACTCGGTTCTAGCTAATTTTGTCTTCCAACTGTTCGACCACTTGGGTTTAATGACCTAATTTTGACGTTGATAGAGGATCAGATAATTTATTCAGATTCATATTAGCTATACAGTAATTGCTAGATAGAATTAACTTACGATTGATATGAAGCGTTTTAGTGATCATGATGGGATTTCATGTGTGATAGCTAGGAATTCTTATACTGCCTGTGTCCCTGTAGCGAGACTTCTCTAATGCATTGAAGCATTAGAGAAGAAAGTGTATTCTTCATATATGGTCTATGGTGGCTATTGATCCAGGCAACATTCTTCATTGTGGCTAAAGTGCTAAACTCACTGGATAAATGATTCTGAGGGTGATATCTTTTACATGAGAGCAGCTCATCTTTGATTGCTTTATGATCAGTTGGGGAGTTTATGATCTTCTTCTACCTATTACATCTTTATTATTGTTGTTATTATTACCATTACATATATTTTATTTTTGATTTCTATTTTTTGAAGGTTGAATGATGGATAAAATATATGTTTCAAGTTTAAATCACTTCCACAAATGATTATTTATTAATTTCTCAGGCTGTTTAAAAAGTTTCATGTATAATTGAGATTTTCAAAGCTTGCTGTTGAAATTTTCTAATAATCAGTCATATTGGAATTGGAAATTATGACAGGCATTACTTGGTAATTTCAAAAGAGCACATTCCTACAGTTAAAGATCTCCAAAAAAGACAAGACGACTACACTTTAGGTAGTTTCTCTGACATAATTGCTACCACCTAAGAATTTCAAAGGTATTTCACTATTTTTTTTCCCTCCATGCAACTAGTGTTCAAATTTTCTTGTTGTAGTGAGTCACATGTTAGATGTCGGGAAGAGTCTGTTACGGAGAGATGCACCTCAGAGCAAGCAATACAGGTACTGGTTTTCTATTTTTGATTCTCGTAGTTTAGTGTGTATACAATTAATGATTTTCCGTCTACTGAGATCACTTTGGAATGGGATTGAGAAACAATTGTTGATCCAATAGTTGAGGCTTTTTCCTAACCAGCTTCTGGTTTTTGAGAGCCGGGAGACTAGTTGGATTCTGTGGTATTCAGACTGCTGCTGAGTACTATTTTGTAATTCCGCTTCTAACCAATTTATGAGTTTAGTATGTCTGTAAGCCTGAAAAGATTGAACAGATCACAATATTACATGATTTTGCTGTAATTCATATTCATAGTTTGCATTATTTGTTAGTGTAGAACCTAAAAGTTTATAAACGCTGAATCTCTTTGCAAGCAAATAATGCCATTGAAGAAAAAACAATTAATAAGCTGTTAATCAGCTAAAATCCGTGCATTCCCTTCGTGTTTCAGATTTGGTTTTCATCAGCCTCCATTGAACAGTGTTAATCACCTTCACCTTCATTGTTTAGCGCTTCCTTACACTCCCAGGTGAGTTTACATTTGTTTAAATTTTGTTAGAGGGAATTGTGTGTTTCCACTTTGATGTTATTGAATTGAAACAGCTGGAGATGTATAAAATACACATCTTTGGGACCACTGGGTGGATTCATTGAAGCTGAAAAATTGTTGCAGAGATTAAAGCTATAAGTCCTCACCCCATTGTGAATGTAAATGTAATTGGGCATCCCTGGGTTATTGTACTTCTAGATAGAATGTGCAAGTCTTTAATTTTAAGGTGTTTAGTAATATGATTGTTGCTAAAAACAGATACAGATGAACAAGTACTTATCAAGATTCGTGATTCAGTTCCTGTATTGTTTTGAAATATTATAAATAAGCCTCCATGCTTTTATTATTAACAATAATTGTTGAGATTATACTGTTTTCAAAAATGTTTTCACGTTGCGGTTTGGGTCAAATATGAATTAGTGTCACAGCAATGGAATATTGAATGTTGACATGTCGTATGCAAAAAGTGTTTAATAAATCGAAATCCAAATATTGGGTTCTTGATCTGAATCATAACCGAAAACTTTCAATTCGATTGCTATAGTGTCCGGTTCAGTTCGAATCGAACCGTGGTCATCCCTACGTATAAATAATAATTTGTTGGAGAAAAAAATAAATAACATGTTTACTTAAGGGTAGAGACATCAATTTAATATATCGGGGGAAAAACCTCACTTTTAGAATAATTGAGAGAACTAATATGCTTACCTGAATAATTTAGGAAAAAAATGTACTATAAACATATAATTCAGGAAAAAAAGTGTCATTTTTTCTTTTTTTGATTTAACTTTATTGTCTCTTGTAGTCTTGTTCACACTTTGACGTGACAATGGTGCTAGTCAGATAGGGTAATCGGCCATTATACATCCATCATATAAGGCTTAAAATATAAGAAGGGAAAAGGGTCAAATACACCCCTGAACTTTAGGTTAGAAGTCAATTAAGCCCCTCAACTTTAAAAAGTTACAATTAAGTCAATCAACTTGTTATTTTTGTGCAAATAGACCCACCAACAGGTTAATTACCTGTAATAGCAGGTAAGTTATTGTTGATGTGGCATTTTTCAATTAAAAATAATAAATAATTAATATAATTTTTTTTTAAATAAAAATATAAAACGATTGCAGCCATGGCCAACGGCCATGGTTGCCATCTTATGTATTTTTTTAAACTTTTTTTTTTTGAAAAAAAAAAAAAGTAAGTTCCACCTTCTTCGTCTCTGCCGGAGACGAAAGAAGAGGCAAGAAGAGGATGGTAGCCATGGGTGGCCGTCGGGCCGCCATCCTCTGTATTTTTTTTTTAAAAAATTCCCCCAAGCAAGAAGAAGATAATAGCTCTGGTCAGCCATGGCTGCTATCTTCTCTTAAAAAAAAAAAAATTAATTCCCCCTAGGAGGCAAGAAGAAGATGGCAACCATGATCTCTTCTTGCCTCCTAGGGGGAATTAATTTTTTTTTTTTTTTTTAAGAGAAGATGGCAGCCATAGTAGACGGCTAGCCATGGCTGTCATCCACTTCTTGCCTCCTTTTTCGTCTCCGCTGGAGATGAAGAAGGGGGAACTATTTTTTTTTTTTTTTAAATAAGAATACATAGGATGGAAGCCATAACTACCTTTCTCTTTTGACCTCCTTCTTCGTCTCCGGCGGGGAGGAAGAAAGGGGGAACTGTTTTTTTTTTTTCAAAAAAAAAATTAAAAAATACAGAAAATGGCAGCCATGGCCGTTGGCCATGGATGCAATCTTTTTCTTTTTTTAATTTTAATTTTATATTAATTATTCATTATTTTTTTAATTGAAACATGCCACATCAGCAACTTACTTGCGATTATAGGTAATTAACCTGTTATTGGGTCTATTTGCACAAAAATAACAAGTTGATAGACTTAATTGTAATTTTTTAAAGTTCAGGGGTCTAATTGACTTCTAGCCTAAAGTTTAGGGGTGTATTTAACCATTTAATCAAAGTAACCTTCCCCTTCATTCTATCTGTGGTGTTCTGATACTCGAATTAAAAAAAAAAAAAAAAAACAGATTGAAGAGAAAGAATCTAGTTATGCTCATATGAGCAGCTCTATTAGTTTTTAGCTAAGTGATAAATTATAGATAAAGACACAATATCGAGTCCGGATAATTGTAATGTTGAAGTTACATCTAATGTGGTGTAAGGGCTCTCACGTCACGATCCAAAAGAACATTGGGAGTATGTAAATCATGGTAATTCAGTTAAACACAAGGAGCCCCTCACTTTGAGTCTTTGAGAGGTTGCTCTCACACTGCCGCTCGTTAGATTCAATCCCGGGTACCCATGTGATTAACTGAGCTGTCCATGTAGGCTTATCATTTACTCTCAAAGTGAGGGAGGCTCCTTGTGCGCAGTAAGCAAATATCTAGTCTCTATGGTTCAGTTGAGTTATCATGATTTACATCTGTCCAAATACTCTGTCGGATCAGAGTGTAGGGTTGGGGATTCAACCTTTAGAGAAGAAGGAAGAATAATACAGCTGTTCTGTGAACACAGGTATTAAATGACCATAAATTCTTTGCCTAACCTTCATTTAATGGCGCAATGGCAATGCTTTTATAGATTTATGATTTTTTTTTTTTAATTTTTGAAAGTTATAGATTTATGATATTCTCCCCCATCTTTGACAATGAAACGCCAGCTGGTTTTTGGAGGAAACAGTAATTATTTATTTTTAAATTTATTTAATAATGTAAACTCCTCCGTACAATGTATACAGTAATATGGGTAAGAAATTTGTTAGACGATTTAGAGTGTTGCAAACATCAAAGTTTAGTAAAAGTTTGGTAAAAATAGTGATATTGGAGTAGTTCAATCTTTTTAATTTTACTGATATTACTGTAACTTAAATTTTTCCTATGTAATTGTTCCCCAAATGCACCCTTAGTCCCTTACACATCAAAGTATAATGTAGCATAACAAAAAAAAAATAAAAAAATCAATTAGTGGTCCATTTGATTCTTAGAAAAATAAAAATTTCTCGAAAAATTTATTCATCAAGTTTGAGAAAAAAAGATTTTATATTATTTTTTTTGAGTACTACAAACTCTTTTACAATGTAGTATCTGTCTATGCATACTTTCTCAACCTACTAAAGCACATTATTTATATTATTTAGTTGATGAAGAATTAATTCTAATAAAAAAATGAATTCCTCAAATCTAAAAATCTCCTTAAGTATTTTATTTTCCACTCTTTTTGAGAGGAAAAAATGCAACAAAATGCATATACGTACTATTGTTTCAAAAAAATACGTATACATATGTTTATAATGAAGGATATTTTAGTCATTATACTCATTATTTGTAACAATTTATTGTCTACTCACCAAACAATTTAATTAATATTTCAAATAATGTCTTTTCTATAAAATTTAAATTTAATTATTTCATTTTTTTACGAACTAAAACTGGCTATAATAGTGTCTTAACTTTAACTTATAAGTGTGCTGGTCAATTTGTCATCAAGGTATATAGATATTTTCTATGGATTTGAATGCAATAGGAATATTGGTTAAACTAACATTTTCTATGGTTAAACATTTTTTTTTTTTTTAAATTTACCAATGAGTGATGAATTATACAATACTATTCAATAGAGTTACTATAAGTTAACCAATAGATAGAGTTACTAACATTTTGGATTAAAAACACATAAAAAAAGTAAAATGATATTCATAAGTTTATTTTTTTCAAATTTTTTTACTGCAATATTAATTGCAAATTCGATTTGAGTTGCATCAGTAAAAACTTTTTTTTTAAAAAATATATTTTATTAGTAATTTGCTTATCAACCCAAAAACGGTTGAGTTAAAAATGTAGGACTTTAAATGAATTAATGATTATTTTGATCCCTTGATTATACCATAATTATCAAATTAGTTATTGACTATGATCAATTAAATTTTTAAGCATTAATTTCGTAACTGATTTGGTCTCTGTCAAATTGAACGAGAACCAATTTAATAATTACAAAGAACCAAATTGATTACAAAATTAATTATTGAAAATTTAATTGGTCAAAATTGATAATCAAGGATTAGTTTAATAATTCGACATAGTAGATCGACCAAAAGGTTATTAATTCAGTTTAAACATTAAATGAATATGAAATTTATTAGCGGAAAAAACCGATGATGCAGCCATGCTATGTATAGATGGATGTCAACGGTTTCGCCAACGTGGACCATACTCTCTGTTTCCCTCGCAGAGATTTATTCGGATCGCCCCCAAAATTCCCAAAATCCCAACGAAAAACAAAGAAAAACAACAGAATATTTTGATTTTGCTTCGGATTCACTTCAAACTTCAAACCTTCATTTGTTCGAGCGACAATAGAATTTTAATATAATCGGAAAAACGAAATGAGCTCCGGAGAACTTCTTCATATCGAACCTTTAGATCTCAAGTTTCCTTGTAATGTCGTCTCTTATCGTCCTCTAATTCCTTCGCAATTGATTTCATTTTGTTGGTGTGTTTTTTTTTTGTGATTTTTAATTTTGTTTTTGTACGTTTGATCAGTTGAGCTGAAGAAGCAGATCTCTTGCACGATTCAATTGTCGAATAAAACTGAAAATCATGTCGCTTTCAAGGTGAAGTATATACATACATATCTTTTTCATGTTGATGTGTTCGTCGATGAATGTGGAATGTATGCATTCTGTATGATGGTTTAGATTGATGTTTACACATCACAGCGTTTTTTTTTTTTTTTTTTTTTTTTTTTTAAATTTAAAATTTCGATTTGATTGAGTTTTTCTTTCTGTAAATGTATAGGTTAAGACGACGAATCCGAAAAAGTACTGTGTTCGCCCTAATACGGGGGTTGTTTTGCCTCGATCCACTTGTGATATCATAGGTATTTCCTTAAGTTTTTCGTGTACATTTAAATTTTGATGAATAGTGACAATTTATTTCTGTTCTTTGTTGTTAAATTGCAAGTGTATTAGTGAAGATTTTTTTTCCCTTTTAAAAAATTTGTAGTGTTAAGACTGTTAGTATGAAATGGACTTTTGGGTAATTATTGATTTTCAAGTTTCCATCTTGTGTAGTAACGATGCAGGCACAAAAGGAGATGCCTGCTGACATGCAATGTAAGGACAAATTTTTACTTCAGAGTGTATCTGCAGGTCCTGGTACAACTATAAAAGACATTACTTCAGAACTGGTAATCAGGCAAATAATTTAAATTCTTTACATGATTGTAAAAATTCCAAAATAGTAGCTCTGTTCTTGAGTTTTGGTTACTGCGAGAAAAGTAAAATAGTGAACTTCTCAATGTTGCTGCCTTCAGATTATGAATGCCATAACTTATCTAAGTGGGAGTCAATAATTGCAGTTCAATAAAGAACCAGGAAAGTTAGTGGAAGAGTGCAAGTTGAAAGTCATTTATTACCCTCCCCCTCAACCACCATCGCCGGTTGCAGAAGGTTCGGATGAAGGTTTATCACAAAGTCCAACCTTGTTAGAGAATGACAATCCAAATAATGGTTTTGAGGTTGTTACTCTACTTTCTGAAATCCAATCCTTCTTATTTATCCTTTTCCTCTTGCATGCATGACTTGTGTTCAGTTTTGGCTCTAATAGTATACTTGTTTGTTGCTTTCAGGCTACAAGATCATTTAGTGATTCCCATGACAAATCTTCAGAGGTGAAATTGTTACTAAGCTCTATTCTCTGAGTAGTTTAATGTAGCAATAGGCTGAGCATGTGGTTGAGTGTATATGCTAGTATAGTGTGTATTTAGACAACTCTTTAATGTCCAAATGGTTGAGTTGAACTTTTCATAAATTTCAATTTTCAGACAAAATCACTTGTTTCAAAATTGGCTGAGGAAAAAGTTGCTGCAGTTCAACGAAACAATAGACTTCGCCAAGAACTGGTTAGGCATTTATGTTCTGTATTCTCTTGTTTCAAATATTCGAAAATTTCCTTCACTCTTAGGCAGTTTTTCACCTTTTACGCTTGCTGCTCATCTAGATTTTAACATTTAATAAGTTAAGGGCAGAAACATTGAAGTGATTCTACTCGATCTCAACTATTTGGTGTAGTTTTTACTTGACATTTTGCTTGCAGTGGGTTTAACTAGGTGGTCATGCAGGAACTGTTGAAGCGTGACATTCACAAAAGTCGCAGTGGTGGCGTTTCATTCATGTTTGTCATCATTGTCGGCTTGGTTGGTGTAATTTTGGGTTACATTGTGAAGAAATGAGTACTTAATAAGGCAGGTTTGGCACATCTTTCACTCCCTCAATGTGTTGATCCTACATTGTTGCTTGCCCCTTGCAGAAATTTGGGGTGGAATGAAAAAGAATTCTTGAAACTGTTTAGCTCAAACTGCAGTGGGTTAGAGAAATTTACTTAGCTAGGGTTCATAATTCTTGTCAGTTAACTGTGTTTTTATGAAATTCTTTTAATCATACATTATTCTGTAAACTTGCCAATATTTTCATTCCAACTGTATGTTCAATTCTATGTCTCAAATGGAGACAGTAATTGGAAGCAGTCTACACTTTTTGTTCAAATTTTGAACTGGTGTTTTGACCAAACTCCATGATTCTGTTTGATATATATGAGGAGGAATAAGTAAGTCAAATTTTAGTTTTTTTTTTTTAGTTTTTTAGTTTTTTTTTTTTTCGCTTTTGTATTTTGTTACCAGAAGAGTTTATATGCACTACGGTTTTGTTTGGTTGGACACTTTTGTACTTTAATATATAATTTGATTTGATACTCATTATACTTAATTTATAATTGGAGCACTAAAAGTGTCATTTTTTTTTTTGAAAAAAATTAATTTAGATTAACAAAATTAAAGTTGAATCATTTTATTTGTTATCGGATCAATTTCTTAAAATTCAATTATTATTTAAATGTGTGTTTTAGATTAATAGAATTTCTCCTAAGATTTTAAAAAAATTAGGATAAAGGTTAAATAAGTTTAAAAATTTACATGCTCATACATTAACTTCGGTAGCTTTTGATCAGGATCACTTTATGTTTTGGGACTCTGTCCCCCTTGACTCTATTGCTTCTTTTATTCATTAATATATGGCTACGGTCTTTATTTCAAAAAAGTTTAAAAATTTAATTGGATTATCAAACTTTTTACAATTTTAAATGGACATTAAGCAATAAAAAATAAAATTGAACTTGTTTTTTTTTTTTTTTTTTAGTACTATTAAAATTTTGAATTATTTGAAAAAGTTGAAAAAAGTTTTGCATCAACCCTAAACATTTACGGAGTAAAAAAGAGAAAATGATATTTTTAAATAAAAAAAAAATAATACCCGACTAGTGCGACCACCTTTCCCCTCCTTCGTCTTCGCCAGAGATGAAGACCATTTTGTCTCCAGGTTCTTCATCTCTATCAAGTATTTCGTCAAACACTTTAGATGCATCCCCAATGGCAGCTTGCTCCGACTACAACTTGACGAGAGACGACTCTACATTTCTATCTACATTCAGCCCAAGCTTCACAACATCCAAATGCATAGCTCTTCCAAATTTTTAGTCCCCCAACACGCCACAACTCTTCACTGCTAACGTTACGGCTACGCCATGGATATCGATGTTCCTCCTCTTCAATTCTACTTACAACCCGAGGACTTCATCGTAGTTAAACGCTCTAAAATACCCAACAAAAGGCGGATTCCAAATGGAAAAATCGTGGTCGCTAATTTTGTTAAATGCCCATTTCGATTCAGCTAAAAGGTCCAACTTTGCGTTGCTAGTGAGAAGCTAGCTTGGAGCCCAAAGCAAAGTCTTGTTCATGCAAACGTGTAGCTTCTTCAAATAATTTGTGTCTGAACAATTTTTTAAGAAACGAAACAAGCTTTAAAGACAATGAAGGTATATAAAATGGAAAATTCTCCCCAATCAAAGGTAAAAAAAAAAAAAAAAAAAAAAAAAAAAAAAAAAAAAAAAAAAGAAATAGGATTTTTGGATTTCTTCAAAAGAAAATTTTGGATTTCTTCATAATGGCAGTGACGAAGGAAGGGAAGGGGGTGGCCGACGGATATACTTTGATAGACATAGTACTCCTTTTTTGTAGTAGTAACAGTACATATTATTATGAACTATATCTTGAATTATCATGGAAATATACCTTTTTCAATTATGTACGATTAGTTGTTTTAGTGTTTATATTTTAAATTTTTTAGATATACCCTAACTTTACAATAAAGTTAAGTTGGGTCAGTCATGTTCAAAAAGGTGGTTCATTTGATTTTGATTTTGATTTTCTACTTACTACGTCAATGATTCTCACATCATAAGATGTAGAGATCAAACTAGTGTTTGGCTGGGGTGTATTCAATATTCATGGATTATATGTCAAGAATAATAGAGCTTCTTAGAGGAGTATATAACTATAATAGAAGATAAAAATCTTAGATAATATAGATTTCTATGTTATGAGTTTCATATATTATCTTGGATTATTATTTTAATATTTCAAAGGGAAAATTGCATTTTTAGTCCATGAGTTATAACCAAGTTTCGACTCAGTCCTTAAGTTATGGTCATATCCGAGTTTAGTCCCTCAGTTATGAGCAAAGTGACGAGTTTGGTCCCTGACACTAGTGGTGTGTTGACAAAGTTAATTCCAGGGATAAAGAAGTAAATTCCTTAATAAAACTTGTAAACTTAGCCAAAATACTTTCCCCCAAATCGACAAATTCCTTAAGTTGCTTATGTAATCAATGAAGTAATCCTACCCCCGTTTTTCTAAAAAATTCTATTTATCGAAAATTATTTTTTTAATATTATCAACTCTATTACAAGGTAGTATGTTCAATATACTTTCTTTATCTATTGTAGCCCAAAGAGTCCATACACCACTGGGATTCAATCATGTGACCTTCCTTCAAGGAGAACCACAGAGCTGGCAACTGATCGAGCACAAGATCCATGGCATAACAAAAAAAAAACAACTTAAATTATAATTTGTTGACAAATACAAAAATTTACTCCATAACATGGACAAGCTTGGTATCTTTTCCCTCTGTTAGTGTTTTTATATGTCCAAAAACCCCATATTATAATTGACAATATTATTATGGCATACTAAGATAGGTTTAGAGTCTGTCCGTTTGGTTCTACAGCTGACTGATCAATCAGAAGCAACAACAGAAGAATTGACACTGAAGATCTGATTTAGGAAGCTGTTTCCTTAAAAGGCTCACGCGGTTTTATCAGACCAGTATGGAAAGATGATCAGCGTATCTTTAAGAAAGGTATGGACCTAATCTGCTGAGATTACATTCCTCTTTTATAGTCCTACCTTCTGCAATCAAAGTCATCTATGGAGAGTGTTTATTGAAGGATCTATAAGTACCCTTACTTGAACGGAATTAGGGTTAAGCCGAAAGTTAGAAGAAACACTCCACATCTGCTATATGAGACTAGATCTTTGATTGTCATTCTTCTTCTCAATACAATATGTTCACGGTGATTAAGATGATGAACTTGAGAAGAATTATTGCTGCTTAAACGAAATGACACTGAGATCACATCGTTGTGGGAACAACCTTAAAGAGCGTCATTGAAGTAGACTGCATCAGAGTGGGCTCTCCAAGTGAAGGGACTTCATTGGACTTCTGTATGCATGGCTCTCTATCTTCAACAATCCACTAAACATGTGTAGACTGGGTTTGTACCTTGTGTGGGGCACTTGGGTAAGATTATTGTATATCTACCTTTGTACATTGGATTATAATTTAGTGGATTGGACGCCTATGTGATCGTCCCCCAGACGTAGATACACACTGTATCGAACTGGGTAAAACTTTCTGTGTCGTTGGCTTTTGTGCTGTTATCTTTCACTTTATTTTCTCCATGATTTTCATTACTGATTGATGACTTAACTGAATCGATCAGTAATCTCGGTTAGTCGACTAATTCTGTTAATTCCTTAAAACAAAAGGAGAAAATGCAAAATTACACCCTCGATTAGCATAACTCCATTGCATTGATGAGTAATAAATCATCACATCTACATAAAAAATTATCTCCAAATTGGGGGAAAGATGAAGTACCACAACTAAGATATGACATTCTGTAATTAATGACTAAATTAGTTCATCAATACGGAAAATATTGATTATTTATTTAAACATATAAAATAGATAAACAACTTACCTGTGAATTTCGCATCTTGGAAGTGGACGAATTTGAGATTTCAAGCTTTGAGAAGAAAAAAATCTTCAATTGTAGGTATGAGAAGAAAAGAATGATGGTTGCGCAATGTGTTTCAACATAAGAAGAGGATTATAATTTGAAATTCATATTTTACCCATCTATTATTAAATTGTTTTTAAGTTTTCCGTTAGCCGCAGACGGAGTATTAACGCTAGGGACCAAACTCGTCACTTCACTTATAACTAAGGGACTAAACTCGGATACGACCATAACTTAGGCACTGAGTCAGAACTTGGTTATAACTTAGAGACTAAAGATGTAATTTTCCCTATTTCAAAAAAGTATATATTTCTTAAACAATAGTCAAGAATAGAAGGATTTTTATTTATTTAGTTTTTTTTTTTTTTTTGGGGGGGGGGGGGGGGGGGGGGGTATGAATCAGAATGGATTACTTAGTTGATTATGGCTTTGTTGATTATCCGTTGTCAGAGAAATAATGTTGTATTATATGCAATAGTGTTTTCCTTTTTGGTCTTAAAGTTTCTAGAATAGTGAAAGCTTGCACAATTATCCGATCAACCTATTAGAGAGGTTATTGTGGCTCCCTTCTCTGATATGTATGTGCAGTGTAAATATTACTTGGTTTTTACAAAGAGGGAGTCAGACAATTTTTTAGAGCATATCAGAAGCTTCCAGCGAACTATTTATGCCAGCTTTGGGTTCCCAATTCTTTTGATGAAGGCACAAAGGTCGGATCTTTTCCCTTGTTTATTCTATGAAGTTACAAAGCTTTATATTGCTTATAGAAAAATTCTGCAAATAACTTGTGTCTAATCAAAGTTTAAAAGCTATCTTATCAGATTTGATAATTGTTGAATTTCTTTTTTAACAAAGAAATGGTTTTTGAAGATTTTTTGTTTAAAATTGATGTAGATTGAATGATTTGGGCTTACTATATTATCAGATTTGATTATTTTTCTGATGAAATTTTGAAATATTTGTATGCCTAAAGAAAGTTTGGTTGGATAAGAGTATTGGGAAGAGGTCTTTCAATGGCTTCAAATGGGTTGGCTATAATGGGCATAAATGATCGGAGATACTGAGTCGAATTCCATCCGAAGAATCAATGTCAGGAATTGTGATCATTGTATCATGTCGTTACCTAAATAATGTATTTGTACATACTTTAATTTTCTCATATAATAATCATTAAAATAATTATTAAAATTTATATGACTGTTTTGAACGAGAAGTTAAAATGAAGGATTTTGTTTTTATTAATAGTATAAATAGTATAGATATAGATTTGACATTGTCATAGTGTATTATCTTATTCATATGATTCTCTACACGAGATTGATTTTTATTTGCTTCTATGACAATATATATTAAAGTATATTTTTCATTCATTCAAAAATAATTGATCGTTGTCTAAGGCAATGTATACACCATTTTTTTTTATTTAATAATGTATTATTAATGTTTACTTTGTCATTATCATGTTTGGAATGATAATTGTATTATGTTGATTATTAAAATTTATATATATTATTATAAGATTTAAAAATTAAAACAAATTCATGTATCGTTGGGCATGACGTTTCGCGCAAAGCGCGTGCCCGTAACTAGTTATAATATAATTATCAATTTAGATTTTTAGTTAGAGCAAATACCAATTTAAGTCCCATGAGTATTAACAAAATGACAATTTTGATCCACATGTTTAATTCATACTAATTTTCATGCACGGCTATTGTTTTAGTACCAATTTTCATCTACGACTATTGTTTTAGTGTCAAAATTCATCACGTCAGTCACCTCTCCGTTTAAGACATGCCGAAATCTAAAAATTTTAAGAGTATTTTTTTTAATCATTTTTCAACTTAAGATCCCAATTTGAGCATGGATAAAGTATTTAAGCCCTAAGATCAATCTCAATTCGCAGTTTTCCTCCTCATCGTACCTTAATTTGAGGAAGAGAACTGCGAATTGAGATTGATCTTAGGGTTTGAATCCCTTTATTCATGCTCAAATTGGGATCTTAATTTGAAAAATGATGAAAATATCATTAATAATTTCATAATTCAGCATGTCTTAAACGAAATGGTGACCGTCGTGACGAATTTTGGTACTAAAACAATAACCGTGGATAAAAATTGATACTTAAATAATAGTCGTGAATGAAAATTGGTAGGAATTAAAAATGTGTACTAAAATTGTCATTTTGCTAATACTTGTGAGACCGAAATTAATATTTGCTCTTTTTAATAGAGATTGTACACATGCTTCAATTTGGTATCAAATCCAAACTCATGCCAAAGGTGGTGCACTCCATGCAAGTGAGATCTGCAACTTAAATCTTTCAATTACTTGCAAACTCCTTTTCAAAAATATACATATAGAATAAAAATCAAGTGGTGCACTTAGGAGTGGTCTGTAGCACACCACCAAATGCGGGTAGTGTACTGGAAATCTTCATCATAATGTCTGTCTGCAAACAACGCTTTGAGAGAGGGAAACCAACGAGGCATCCCAAGTTTCATAGTTGACTTATCAAACTTACTTACATCTATCAACCACAAAACTTGGAGTTTGGGTAGCATAAGGTCATCTGGAAAAGCCGTAATCTCCTGTGAATAAGAGAAAAGAAGTGTTTCCAAAGAAGGATGCCTCTTGAGCCAAGCTGGCCAATTCTGATCATGTAGTGGATAGCGTTGTAGCTGAAGTTTCCTTAGCTGTGGGGGAAGCTCAAAGCCATACCTATAGGTATCTACTACATCACCTTCTAGCGACCATCTTATTTTTAGAGCATGAAGATTACATAAGCTTTGTAAATTGCAAACTTCATTAAAATTGAAGTTAACTATTATGCTCAACTTGGTTAAGTTGTGAGGAATTATTTGGGAGTCGAGGGAGATCAAATCTGCATCCTGTGTAAGAGCAACACCCTTTAGCGTTCGGAGCAACTTAAGTTTTGCAACTACCGCCCATAAACTAGTGCGCTCAAGCCGCGAGGAACATCCTGATACATTGAAATAAGAGAGTTTGGAAAGTGACCCAATCTCCGAAGGCACCTCTTCTAAATTCCAGCAATCCTTGAGGTCCAATACTTGTAGGTTGCAACAATTAGATATGGAGGGAGGCAATGAGGTGATTCCTGAAACTCCTCTGAGGCTTAGATATTTCAAGTGCTTGCGGCAGGCTACTTGGAACAGGGCATTCAACACCAAACTATTTTCAATGTAATTGTCGCTAAGTTGCATATGATTCCACGTTCCTAAGTGAAGGGCTCGAAGCTTATTTAATTTCCCACCAAACACTAGCAGCTCCTCCAAATTTAGGTAATGTTGGTTAACATTAATGATGGCCCATAGTGGTGCTTTACCCCCACATTGACAATGAATGGGGCTGCTGCTACTGCTACTGCAACAGCTAAGGTCATAACGGGCAAATAGTTGTTCTGTACGCTGCAACTCTTGGCGGTTCCTTTTTCTGTCGTACACCAGCATCTCTAGAACATGAACCTGCTCCTTTGCCCACATTAATACTTTTTTAAGATCACTCTGCATTTCGTTTTGCTTCTCAAACAGAACTTGGACATCTTTTTCATTTTGATGAATATCAGTCTCCAATTCTCTTAGCCTCTCCAAGAGTGCCTCATGCTTTTCATCACCATCCCAAGGGCTTATCCTGTCTCTCACTCCAGAATTATCCATCAGCAGCTTGCTTACACACAAAATCAATAATCGAAAAGCAAAAAGCATATCCCAAACTTCTTGCATATGACGATACCCTTTTACCCCATCAGAGATCATCGCTTCTTTAATTTCTTTATTAATAATTTCTTTCTCACACAAAATGAGACCAGGCTTTACCCACCGCACAATCTTGATTATCCTCATGAAACTGTGGTAGTTTTCATATTCTGCGCCTTCATCCCAAAACAAACAGGCATGTGCTGGCCGGCCATGAAAACCTGGACTAGTGCTAATTTTCTTCTTCTCCTGGCCCCCCAGCTGCTGCCTACCGTAAAATTCAAAAAATTGAGTGTCCATTGCGATGGAAACCAGCATTTTTCGAATCCAAGGATGCACTGTACAAGCACCTACTACTCCCAGACTACTGAGTCTTTGAACGTCACCTTTATAATAATATGGTTCTATAAATCCCAGACGGATGAGTTCCATAATGTTTTCTTCTCCATCTACTTCTTCAGTGATGAAGCCTTCTGCCATCCACCAATAGATTAGTGGGATTTTCTTGATGACAAAGTTCTCAGGAAATGCTGCAAGGCAGAGCGAGCAGAGCTTCAATTTGGTAGGAAGATGGTCGTAGCTCTTCTTGAGAGTGGCAATCATGGGCGATATCAGCAGGCTCTCTTCAATGCACATATCAACGCATGCACTCGTGTTTGATAGCATTTTCTCATACCTTGTGATATTCCCACTATTTATTGGTGGATACTCGAGCTGGGGGGTGAATTGGGAAACCAACATCCTGATTTTCTCCATCCTCTTAGCAATGGCGGATAACCATTTTGAAACTTCGATTTCTTCCTTTTCCACTAAACCAAGCTTGGAATCAGAAGAAGAAGAAGATTCATGCCGTCGAAGCCAATTGTGGGGATCCATAAACTCTCCAACCTCCTCCCCATAGAGATTATCTTTTAACTTGAAAGAAAGCACATCGTCAACTTCTTCTATTACGCATTTTAGCTTGCCTTCAACATGATCCTTCAAGTATTCAGGGTTTGGATATGCTTCCAGCTGCAGCACTCCATTCATTATAGTTATCTCGCTTTTAATGTGTTCACATTTGAATTTAACCAAAGACCTTTCAATCTTCTCGGTTTTGTACTCATACTCCACTCTTCTAATCCTCCTGATACTCAATTTTTTAATATGAAATGTCACAGATTAATTTGACAAAATTATTGAACATATACTAGTGATAGATTAGAATATACTTAAAATCAACTCATGTTCATCTAAATTCTAAACTAAGGAATATTTTAGTGATGATCGATGAAGGATAAGTGCTAATTATTAGTACTTTTATGTGCACAATTGATATCAAACTCATATGATTTTATGTTAATTGAAAGTTAAGCATGTGCTTTTGATTCCTTTGCCATTTCGGTGATTTGGGGGCATTTGTTGTAACCAAGTCAGGTCCTATCATTTTATTGGTTCAGGGCATGTAAAAAAAATAAGCACTATCTAAACTTAACATATATTTTTATACCTAAAATTTAAATTATTTAAAAGAAAAAAAAATACTATTTCATGTCATATAACTAGAAATTTACATACAAGACTCACAAGTTTTATTTATTTATTTTTATTTTTTATTTAACAAATTTACATACACAATAATAATCATAAAAAAATTATTGATGCTTTCGTAAATGCAAAATAATCAATAACGGCATCAGTGCCTTCATAAATAAATAATTATAGTTTATAAAAATGAATAACAATTTAAAATCAAATGAGCTTAAAAAATAAGGGAAATGAGTCAAATAAGTCCCTGAACATTATACAAAGAGGCAATTAGATCCCTGAACTTTTAAAAGTAACAATTAAACACATCAACTTTTGACTTTTGTGCAATTAGACCCAAAACCTGAAGATTTACTTGTAACTTCTTATGTGGCATCATTTGAGCTTGTCATGTATGCAAACTTTAAAAAAAAAAAACAAAAAAAAACATTTATTAAAATTAAAAATCAAAATAAATAATCTATAATAATAATAATAATAATAATAATAAACATTTCCGGTAATGATTTGCTAGTCAAGTGCCGTCCGGCGGCCAGAGAAGAAGAAGGCAGCTATGACCATGGTTGCCTTCAACTTTCTCTCTCTTAAAAAAAGAATATCTTTTCCTTCTTCGTCTCCATATATGGAGACGGAATGGAGACGGAGAAGGAGAGAAGAACAAGGCACTGAAGGCAGCATCGCCGTCGGCCATGGCTGCCTTCAACCTCTCTTTGTTTTTTTTTTAAAACCTTTCCCTTAACGAAAATGGACCCTTCTTTATCTCCAGATTGGAGACGATGAACAAACACAGAATAAGGATGGCCATGGCTACTTTCAAGCTTCAACACTTTTTTTTTTTTTTTTTTTTTTTTTTTTTTTTTTTTTTTATAAATAACAATCATACCCTTCTTCGCCTCCAGATTTGGAGACAAAGAAGGAGGAGGAAGGCAGCCATGGCAGCCGGCCATGGCTGCCTTTGACGGGTAAGGTTTTTTTTTTTTTTTTTTTTTTTTTTTTTTTTTTTTTTTTTAAGTTTTTAAAAAGCTAAATATTATTTTATTAATAAAAATGTCACGTATGATGCCACATAAGAGGTTACCTGCAATTACAGGTAAATAATTAGTTTTTGGATTTAATTACACGAAAGTCAAAAAGTTGATGTGTTTAATTGTTTCTTACAAACAAGGACGAAGCAAAAAATCATCATAATTGAGGGCGCGAAATCAAAATACTTCAAAACGTAGTAAAATATTAATAACAAAATATGAAACATTATTAAGTTAATATGATAAAATGGTTTGAATTAATAGAAAATGCATTATAAACCACACATCTCCTATATTGATATGATGTTTATTAATACTATTTTCTTTTAGCCAAATCAATTTCAATTTTTTTTAGAATAATATTTAACACGATTAATAAAAACAACAGAAACTTCCAAATGTATTAACTTAATAATTCATAAAAAAGCAAACTACCATTTAAATTTTTATTAATAGCTAAATCACAAAATATATTTTATATAAATTAATTATTTAATTAATCAAGTTAAATAATTTTTACAATTCATAACTCATTATAAAAGTTTACAAAATAGCACTAGTTATAAATGCAAATATTAATTACTCAATTATAAATAGATTTCAAAACTATAAATAAATCTCACAAATCAATTTTTTATTAAATAAAAGTTCACAAAATAACACCTGTTATAAATATAAGTATTAAATTACTCAATTATAAATGGATTTCAAAATTATAAAATAATCTCATAAATCGAATTTTTATTTAATAGAGTGTTGGGAAAAATAAATCCAAACCATAACCAATGAGTCTCAACCCCGTACCTTTGCTATAAGATACATGTATCCTACATTCTTACCAACTAATCCTTGATTAAAATATATGCATTTTAGTTACTTATATCGATATATCAATATAAGAATGAAAAAGATAAAAGGGAAATTAAATAACTTTATTTTAATTTGTTTCATGGTTTAAGCCTGAGAAAAATTAAAGCACAGATATAGAGTGCTTTTGTACTTTATCTAAAGTTTAAAACTATAAAGTATGGTAATGGTAATAAACTCTTTTAAATTAGATTTTATTTTCAAACCAAAAGCAACTAGGTAGCCAGGTAGGTCTAATAATCATAGAGTATGCAACAATTAAAAAAAATGTGAATAAATTTTATTACTCAATTGCAAACAGTTGGCATATGAGGCGTATATATAAATGAAAATACATTTTGTGATAAATCAATCATCACCGTGGGAAAACTCGTTTTTTTTTTTTTTTTTTTTTTTTTTTTTTTTTGGAGAAAAACTTTTAAAATTCGTAAAAGTTACTTTTCTCTACATATAAAATTGTATTACTAAATATGCATTGAGTTAACCCTTTTTGCGTACATTGTTTTAAACTAAAAACACAATGTCGTCCAAACACTATATTAACAGTATATTATAAAAATATATTTCTATATATATATATATATATATATATATATATATATATATATATATATATATATACACACACGTGCAACAAAATAAATAAAATGTGATCATAATTATATTGACAAAAATCAACAAAATAAATAAGTCTGGTGTGATAAATCCAATCAGGCTTCATTAATAATTAAAACATTTTACAATGTCACAAAGATACTATATCCATATTTCTATAAATATAAATGAGCATTGACATTTATATTTAATTATTTATATATATAAAAATATCATTATGTAGTAAAATTGTAATCTCTTTTTTTTTTTTTTTTTTTTTTTTTTTTTGTTGGATGAATCAATTCATGACACATCTTTATGGAGTAAAAAACAGTAAGTAAAAAGTGAAAATAAAGATAATATTACTCTTTTTATTCAGAGTGTACGTAATAAGTATGATGACTTCTCTTCATTGTAAAATTTACCATAATGAGAAATTGAAAGAGATAGTTGGAAAGGGAAGGAATACCATTCAATGTCATATAGTTGCTTCATGATTCTTACTGGACATTCATCTAGATTTTCCATTACTCTTTCTCCTTCCTTATTTTCGCTTGCTTCTTGCATACAATTACTTGCCAACATGTTTGCACCTTCAGTTCGTCTCTATTATTTGCTATAGCTCAAGTATTTGAAAGTGTGAGTAGAGGTTTTGAAATAAGTGTAGTGTATATATAACAAAGTAATGTAATTTTTTTTTTTATTTAAATTTGTTGCTCAATATATAAGTAAACTAAATTCTTATTCTTTACTTGTCATGTCTAAAAATAAAAGAATCTTTACTTTGCAACATTTCACCAGTCTCTAGGGGACTATTAACACTTAATCAAATTATATTATACTCCGTAATATATTATATTATGACTAGTACAAGAATAACTTTAGAAGAAAGAAGTGTAATGTATATAATCAAATGGTATAATTCTTGTTCGTTTTTGAGTTGTTATGTTGCTCAAAATTTAAGTAATCCTTATATTCTTTACTTACGGTGCATTTCTAAGAACAAGGGAATATTTACTTTAGATATATATTTTAAACTTTTATTGTGCTTGTGTTTGTAATTGGTGGTGTCAAATTGTTGGGTGAGTATAAACACAGAAGATGAAATGTTGGGGTAAAGTAAATTAAAGAGAGATGGGAAGACTGCACTAAGCTAAGGCTTCTTGTATGTGTACTAATTAAACTGCATTCAGAATTGATAGTGAGCAGAAGTTCTCGCGCGCCACAAAATTGCTTCCCAACTTTTGACTAACTTTGTTTTCTCTCATTTTTTTTGTTATAAAAGTAATACTATAAATGTATAGCAATGATCGATAAATATTTGATTGGATATGTGACCAGAAATTGACTACCTATCCATCACAACACATCACATTAAGTGAATCTTTTTATGGTCGTCAAGATTCGGGAATTAATTTACCATTTTCCTTTGGAAAATGTAATTCTTGTTCGTTTTTGATTTGTTACGTTACGTTGCTCAATACATAAGTAATGTTCTTGTTCTTTACTTGCCTTATCTAAGAGTGATGAAGAAAAGATTTATGAAAGAAAGCAAGTGGCTAGCTAGCTGGAGATTCTGATTTTCTGGGCTGGTAACATGCTAGAGTGAGTTACTAGAAGGGCAGTGCTCGTTTAATTTTCACACTCTGATGAATTGAAGTTCATGGTGAAGAATTATTTTGCCATTTTTCCTTGGCAAATCCAAGACTACTGACTATATATTGTGTAATAATCAATGATTAGGATGATTAGGGTATATGCATGAGTAAGTAATGTAATTCTTGTTCATTATATTTAATTTTTTATTTGTTATATATATACATTGCTTAATACATTAGTAATTTTCTTGTTCTTTACTTGATGTGTCTGCTAAGAGGAAGGAATATTTAGCTTGTTGTTTTCCTTTCTCAGTTCTCACTTTTTGTTTGTTAGTTGTAAATGTTTTAATAATTTCAATTGCAGACATAATGATTGAAGATATAGTTAATTCCAGCAATGGTGCTCCAACTATGTTGATTTTTCACAATTGGTCATCAATTTTTAATTTGGACAATTTTGACACTTTGACTATTAAAATCTTTTCAATGTTGGTCCTTCCGTCATCTTACCGTTATTTAGGCGTCAAGTTCAAAGGTAAAATTGTCCTTTCCATTTTTCGAGCTAAAACTTGATATTGAAGGACGATTGGTTCAGGGGTAAACTTGACGGTGATGACCGACGATGCTGTCGTGGTGGAGCTCCTCATCCGCCTCAAGCAGTCATCATTCTCGTAGCCGTCAAAGGTGTGCACTGTACTCCGCCGCATCCCGTCGCGAAGATAATATTATTGCATTTGTGCTTATCTTTTCCCAGTTGAGGCCATCGCCAGCGAAGATCGAAGCCCACGACGTCGACCAGTCGGAAAAAGGCTGCCGCTCGAAGACCGCTAGGTTTAGCCCGACCACTCCTAGACCGGTGGCGCTGCTTCACCCAACGACTGAATGACGGCAGCTTTGAGGAGTCCATTCGCCTCCCTTCTTTGTCGGATCTAACATCCACTTTTAGATCTCCTTATTAAGCCGATTGGGGATTTAGTGGATGTTTGGATTGGGGATAAAGGGAATGGGAAGGGAGATGGTAAAGCTAGTTTGAGAGTATTTTTTTCCACTTTTGAGCCATCAAGTTGTTGGAAGGATTAGTGTTGGAGAAATAGAATTGAATGAGTTGGTTGGTTTTGTGATTGCAGCAGCGTTTTGGTTGAAAGTTGTGCTTCAAATTTAATGAAGGTAGTTTGAAAAAGGAGTTGCAGAGTGAGATGAGGTCCTGGATTAATGTATGTTCTATTAGCAGGCTTCAGAACCCCTTTCTTTTATGGTTAGTATTGATTGATATTCGCATTGTTCATATGTTAGAATGCTTTTTATTTTTATTTTTTATTATTCAAGAATGCACAACAAGTGTTCGAATAGCACCACTTTGCATCCAATGGCGATGGACTCGTCGGAGTAGCTGCCGGAGCGCTCCGCTAGTTCCCGGAACAGGTATCGGCGGCGAGACTTGCCCATGTATACCAGGTAGAGGTCCTTCGAAGAGGCGGCTCTGTAAGGGCCGGAGAAGTGGTTGTCGTCGTCGGAGAAGGAGTTGGTAGTGGCGACGACGATGGAGCTGCCGCTGCCTGTGCCGCGGCTGAGCTTGAAATACTGCATTTTTTAGGACGACTGAAACAATATAATTTATTTACAATTTCAGTATTTTGGTTAATTTGATTGGAAATGGGTTTCAGTACTTTAAACCCTCTTTTCTATCAATTCCTTTCCGGCGCAGTGCAATGCATTATGATCAACTGAAGAGAGGAAAAGGAACCTATGCAATGAAAGGACAATTTTATCCCTGAACTTAACGCCTAAATAACACTAAGATGATGGAAGGACCAATATTGGAAAGATTTTAATAGTCCAGTGTCAAAATTGTCCAAATTAAAAGACAATGACTAATTGTAAAAAATCACTATACTCAGAAGACTAATGCTGGAATTAACTCATTGAAGATATAATGAATGGGGCAACGTAAAGTAAATGCACACTGAAGGAAAGAGAGATTGAAAGAGTGCTTAATTAAGGCTTCTTGTATACTGACCTACCTGCTTTGAAAGTATAGTAGGAGGTATATATGATCGTGAAAAAAAGCCAATTGGACAAGCCAAGAGTCTTTGAGTAACAAAAGTCGAATGAAGCATACCTCCATTCATTAGCATTAAGACCAGCAATTAATCTTCTTCCTGGTGAGACATAGGCTAATCATTCCCTTTCACTTCAATTTCGTTGTTCCAAACGGAACAGGTTGCCGTCTCCCTGCCTGTTCGTTGGTGTTTAAGAAATTGAGCTCTAAAATTGGTGGGAAAAAAATTAGTGAAGAAGGGAATTGAGATTGAAGCCAAGGATTTGGCCGGTGTACACAAATTAAAGGAATGATTCTTGTCCAATTTGCTTTTTGAATTGGTCCCATAATCCCATCTTTCCCAACATTCCCAGATTTCAGAGGCCCCTGGTAGTGTTTGGTTCTTCAGGATTTTGATTTGACAAAGGAATAGTTTATTGTTTTGATCCTTGAACATAATAAGAGCATCTTTAGTAGTTTATCTGTTTTTTTGTTTTTTCTTTTTAAATTCCTGACATTATTTCTTGTTTTGCAAAAACCAACCTCAAGTTTTTTCTACTGACAAAAACTATGAATTATCCCTTAGTAGGGATAATGCTCTAACAATTACATAATATTAGGATGTGCACGGTTCTAATTCGACCCGATTTAGATAAGTTATCTAAAAATTTTTGGATTTTGTGTTTTTAAATCTGAAGATCATATCAACCCTAAAAAAAAAAAAAACTGAAGATCAAACTGAAAATTAACGGATTCTTTTAAGAGTTCGAGTATGTCAGTCCGAACTTATTTTGGATTCGGATGATTAGAAACTATAAATTTTTTTAAAAAAAATTTTGAACTATAAAATAATAAAACATTTCTAAAATTATCATTTGATCTTTTCATCTTTTGCTTTTTTATTTTATTTTTTATTTATGTACAAACTTTAGTAATGAAATGTTTTAACTTTCACATTAATTTAATCGTGCAATGCAAGCTATTGGTGCTCTTACAAATATATATTTTTACTAAAGGCAAGGCTGGTTTTAATTAATTGGGTTGGAGGAATGAAAAGAAAAGAAAAAAAAAAAGTGAAACACCCTTAGATCCACAAAGTTTATAATTTCACATTGCATTTAAGCTTATTTTCCTTGTTATTTGTTATAATTTTGTTCGAAGTATCCTCATTTGATTCATTTGTGTGCTTATGATTAATTCTTGATGATTTAGATGAATTGAGTGATTTTTGGGGCATTTCGGATGCATGTAGAGTCAATGGGAGTCGATGAGAAGCTATGAAGATGGAGAAACACCTTTTAGAGAGCAAAATTATGGTGTGTTTATTGGTCTTGGTCATTTGGACAAACAAAGGCAAAAGTGGAGCAAAAGAGCAAGAAGTTGAAATTTCCGCACAAATCGTCTACTACTCGGTTTTTTGATCATATCTCTGTGTAGGAATGTCCAAACCAAGTGAATTTTATATCATTAGAAAGCTAACTTGAAGGGCTACAACTTTGATTCAAGAACCAAAGGCTAATTCAAAGGTTTTGAGGGTAAAAACTGGCCTAGAAGACGACCTCAGTGCACAGGCAGTGCACAGTACTGCCTGTGGCCACGGGTCTGGCCACGGCCGTGGCCACACCCGTGGCCACTGGGCAGTGTGCCCTGCATTTCTGGCCACGGGTGAAGCCACGCCCGTGGCCAGCCCTCTGCAACTTTTTGCAGCCCGTTTTTTACCCTTTTAAGGGGATTTTTCCACCCCAAAACATATCTTTCATTTCCCTTTCATTTCTCTAGTTAGGGTTAGTTTAGAATAGCTTAGATTAGTGTAGATTTGTGTTTCCTTTCCATTTCCAAGCTCAAGAACATTGCAAATCTTGGATTTCAAGGCTTCAATAGAGAAGTTTTCTTATTCATCTCTTCTCTTTACTTTTCATCTATGCTTTCAATTTCTCTTCTAATATTGTGTATCTATTGTTATATTATGAGTAGCCAAGTGTTTTGGGACTAGGATTTGGTTTGATTTCTTGCTATTGATGCCTATTTGAGTTGT